AAACCGTTCTACTGTCTAACTTGCAAAATTATTATTAATTTAATTGGAAAAATTAAACACATTAGAGGTAATGAACAACAACAACTGACAACATAAACATAACATTAAAACCAACGAAATGACTACAAAAACTGTTGAAAATGGCCCCCTTCACTTACTATGCATGCTTCCGCTCTCCTTCTCATGGAATTGCGCACTCGTTGAGGGTCATCTCCCCCAACAAATAATTCTACCGATAACTTTTCTTTAAAAAATATAAGTGAAGAAAACGTAATTAGGGTTTCGAAAAGATTAAAGAACAAAATGACGTCTGGATGTAATGGTATTCCAAGTTTTTTCGTTAAAGATTGAATTCATATACTACCGAAAGCGCTGGCTTCCATATTCAACCTAATTCTAAAATCAGAGACATATCCAAATATCTGGAAGACCTCTAAAATATGTCCTATTTACAAAAGTGGAGATATCTCTGATATTTCCAACTATCGCCAAATATCAATCCTGTGCAATTTCAGCAAGCTGTTTGAGATCATCGCTTATGAAACGGTTTACTGCTCGGTCAAGGGCGCAGTCTCTATTAATCAGCATGGGTTTATGAGAGGCACCAACTTGGCTCTAATTACTCAGTACATTTCTGAAGTACTGGACGGTCAGGAACAAGTTGATGTCATCTTCACAGATATTCAGAAGGCGTTTCATCAAGTTGATCATTATGCACTTCTGGATAAGCTTAAAACAGTGGGTATGTCGGATGCAATGCTGTCGCTCATGAATTCATATTTGAGGGATAGATATTTTTTACTTTTGTCAGGTGCAAGTTGGAGTACTCTGATCTGGTCTCCTATATACCAAAATTCTGTCGTGATCCTTGAGGCCATTCAACGTAAAGCTTTAAAGTATTTTCACCTTAAATGCACAGGTTCTTATCCAGAAAGAGGTTGTGACCATAGTGCCCTATTAGAGTTTTTCAATTTAGTTTCACTGTCAACAAGACGAAACGTATTTGCTTTGTCGTTTTTGTATGGCCTCATTCACAATAAAATTGACTGTCAAAATTTACTTGAAAAAATATATTTCCGCGTTCCAAGGCTAGGGAGTCGACAACAAACGGCATTCTATTGTCAAGCTGGCCGTACAAATGTTATGACAAAATCGCCAATTAATCTCATGTGCTGCGTCATGAACAGTGTTACTGAATCGTGTGATATTTACAGTGACAGTTGTGCATCGATTATTAACTGCTATAGATCATCCAGTCTTATTTAGAATGTGTGATACTATAGATTAAGTCCAAGAACATGTCTCTTTAATTGTTATCTTTTTCAGCATTTCCTGTAATTGGGTTTCACCTGTTGGAAATAAATAAATAAATAAATAGCTTTGGAGTATTTTTTATTCTATCACAAGCTGCAACTGTTCTTCTCTTAATTCCTCTACAGTGTTAATGGGACTTGTGTACACTAGTGTCTTAAGATAGCCCCACAAAAGGAAATCTAAACTGTTGAAGTCTGGGGACCTTGGTGGCCATTCTTGGGGCCCACCGCGCCCAATCCAACGATTTGGATAAACAGTTTGTAAATAATTACGAACCGCTACACTGAAATGCGCTGGTGCACCATCACGCATGTACCACATATTGTTTCTTATCACTAACGGAACCTCATCGAGCAGCAAGGGAAACTGTTATTGAAGAAAATTGAGTTAATTCTGTCCGTCAGGTCGTCCCGGCAAGAAGAATGGGCCAATAAAATAGTTGCCAATAATTTCTGCCATACGTTAACCGAAAATTGGTGTTGGAAATGGGTTTCGGTTACGGCATAGAGAGTTTATTCTGCCCACAAATGATTATTGTGAAAATTCTAAACGGCATTTCGAGAAAAATTAGCTTCGTCCGTGAACAGAATCATTGATTCAAATTGCGGATTTTGTGTAATTTTTTGAAGATACCACTGGCAAACGGTCAAAAGCCTTGGAAAATGAATGGGAAGTAGTGCCTGTATTCTTAAAATATGGTAAGGATATAACAAAATCTCCACTAAAATTCTCCAAACAATTTGATGGCAAATATTTAAGTGTCTAGCGATCCTCCTCGTACTCGTTTCAGGATGTTCTGCGACTTCGAGCAGCACTGCTTCCTCAATTTCAGGTGTTCTCATACTTAGAGGTCTACCTTCAGATGTTCCTTTTCGGACAGAACCAGTTCCAACAAGACGACGATGAATATTAGAAAAGGTTTCGACTATCTGGCAAAGCACGATCGGGATATCTCAGGTGATAAAATCGTCTGGCTTGCTCACCATTACCATCAGCAAAGCCATATACGTAATGCATAGATTTTGAACATTTCGGACAATTAGCCTTTTCTATACAGGGTGTCCCAGAAATAACACGCCAGAGTGACTCGGGAGGTAGGTTGGCTGCAGATCAATCAGATATTTATTTATTTATTTACACCAGAAACAGATGAACCAATTATTGGTGGGAGAACAGAAGTTTACATAGTACAAACCTGAAGTAATATACATAAGAATACATAAGAAATATAACAGTCACAAAACTACACAATTATATAACAGACTTTGAAGAGGATCTTAATAGAGGTCACATGTGTATTAAATATATCAATTCTGTTTTGTAGATTGTTTAAACAGGTACACATGGAATATAGGGGAGAATGCAGCAGTAAGTTGGTGCTGCGGGTTGGTAAATGAAACGTTAGGATGTTTCTGGTGAGACATCTTGGTATATTAAACGGCAGGCGACTTGAATATCCGGACAATCGTATTGGTTGTGAATAACCTCGAATAAGAATATTAGTGAATGCATTTTTCTTCTATGGTCTAAGCTTAGCATACCGTGCCTCTGTAATTAATACATCTTGAGGAACACCTATTTCTGGATAGATACCATTTATCGTGTAGGACAGATATTTCAGAAACTTGCGTTGTATTTTTTCTATTGGGTGACAAGTCGTCACATAGCAGGGATTCCAAATAATTTTAGCGTCTTCAAGTTTTGACATTACAAATGCATTATACAGCATGAGTAGAGAATTTATACTAAAAATCATCTGAAAAGCCCATTTTATCAAGTTTTGCTAGTAGCAGATGAAGGTCCAACCTATCAAATGCTTCACTAATATCTGTATAAATGACATCGGTTTGCACTCCAGCGATATGTTAAAATCAACATGACCTGAGTAAAAGTTTTCTAGTTTTCGAGATATTGCCACTTCTAAGCTTTCTCAAAAAAATCTCTACTTTTTGCTCCGTTTTTGCCTGTTATGGCTATAAACAAGTTCTAGCTTATGCTTTTTTCCTGGGCTAAAATTAATAGTTCTTTGAGACAACAAAATATATTATTACATTTTGTTTCAATGTGAAAACCTTCACTAAAGTTTGCTTAATTACTGTGAAAAAAATTTACCAGACTGAATCGGCAAATGATCTCAATAACTTAAATTTACATTGTTTTGGAAGATGTGCCTATTGCGACAGAAAGAAGAATGTGGTTATAGAATGATGGGTGCCCTAAACACTATACTAGTGCTCTGTAGTTTTTTCTGGGGATGTTCAAGACATAAGGTCTATGGAAAACCAGTTCGATCAGTCGATGAACTGCGTCATCGAATCCGTCCAGCAGCACGCAAAATATCTAATTTAAGTTTGAGACGTTTAAAAGGACAATTTTTTAAAAGACGCAGCTTGTGTATAAGAGTCGGAGGTAGACATTTTGAAAATCTGTGAAAATAATAATAATAATCATTTATTGCAGGCAATATTTACATTAGATTTTAAAAAAATATTTAGTTAATTTAAGGGGTCAATAATGATTCCCAATTCTTTATTTGACTTGAATTTTGTAGTAATTAATTGAAATACAAAAAATACAACCTAATTTTCTATTTATTATTTTGATGCCTGCGTACAACGATAAATAAAAAAGGATAATGGATAGCTGTCTTAGACGTTTGATAAAATAAAAGACTATAACAACAGCTACAAAGTTTTAACTTGAACATAAGAGTCAGCTGCACTTATTATTTTTTATTTGTAATATTTCGAAAGTATTACGACTTCAGTGACAAAATTTTGAGTTATTCAGTTTTTAGTAAAAAGAACCTACAAATGTTACACTATTTTTGAAAGAGCATATAATAGATAGTTTTTAAGGTCATTTGCTGATTCAGTCTGGTATATTTTTTTACAGTAATTAGTCAAACCTTAGTAAAGGTTTTTGCATTGAAACCAAATATAATAATTTAATTCTTTTAGAGTACCGTGCTAGTTTTCAATGAAATGAATACTCGGTAACTATTAATTGTAGTCTAGGAAAAAAATCATAAGTTATAGACATAACAGGCAGAAAAGAAGCAATAAGTTGGGATTATTTAAAAAAAACTTGGAAGTGGAAATATTTCGAAAATCGAATCTACCTCCCGTGTCACCCTGGCGTAGTATTTCTAAAAAAAAAAACAAATGAAGTTTTAATTTGTCTGATAGATGCATCCTATCTAGAATCCACAACCCAAAAGTGACCTCTAGCCTTTGAGATGTCAAATAATAGTTTGGGCGATTTTTTCGCGTTTTAACCTCATTGCTCCAGCGCCACTGGATCGATATTCTTGCAAGTCTCTGAAAGGTCAAAAACCGATGTCTGAGTAGAGGAGAGGGTATAAATATGAGTTACCATTTTATTAAATTGGCATATTTGACACATATTTGTTCTATATGCTCAGCATTTTTTTGTCGGACAAGCTGAACCTAATCTAACATTATGCTGGTAGTTTTCATGTTTTTTACACAAACCTGTTTGTAATTTTTATATGTTTAAATAAAATTAACATCATACCAGATATTGAGATAGTGATACAAATATGGGCTACTAGAAAAAATACCTACAAAAAGTAACTTAGAGCTTTATTTAAGAGCAGCAAAAAGAAACAGAAGCACTTGACAAGAACACATCAGATATTATCCAGTGCGACAAAAGTCACAAACATAATCATCCTTATCAGCACCTGCACAATCGACATGACACCACATATTGTACATTAAACATTGAACCCACAGTTCTCCTTTGCGGTCTTCGGAAAATCTGCTTTCACAAAAGATGCATTCCGCATCTAAATCATCTGGTTTCTTTTGTCCAGGCATATCATCCATATCTAAGTCATCATCTGCTAACACCAGCTCTGTTTCGTCGTCATCACTTTCAGATTCTCTTAAAGATCGCTGCTTTTTATTCTCCTTTGAAGTTATGGACGATGTATTTTTGGTTGATTGAGAAAACACCTTTTTCTTAACAGAGATTTAATTTCTGGTTTAGTTTTATTGGCAGTGCTCAACAATAATTCGTCTTTGTACGGGGACGAAGTAATTACCGCTGCTTGTGATGCTTTTCTACCCCTATTAGTTGTTTTCTTTTTTAAGGTCGGTACTGGTGAAATATCAAAGGGGGTACACAATTTTTTTTTGGATTCCAGATGGTCCAGGTTGAGCGCAGTCGCGATTGAGTAGCTCTACATCTGATTGAAATTTACCACATGGCCCAGGTGGAACGTTGTCTAGACTAGGAGGCTCTATATCTGATTGAGATGTGCCTGGTGTACTCTCAGCGAAGTCATTTTCAGCGGTACAGTGTTCTTTTCCTTTTTCTATTTCGGCTGCAAGAAAGTCCACTTCTGAAAAAATATTCTTGTTAAGCGGAAAAACTCCAATAACGCGGAATCCGTTTACGGCGATTTCTCCAGTCTGACTTTTGAGATAAGCCTTTCTCAAAAGTTCGCCAATATCATGTTTGGTTAAGGGACGATGATTATGACGAATCGATTGTCTAATCTCCTCACTGTAGTAAGATTTTAATGTACCCATGAAAGTTTTGTCAAGAGGTTGCAATTTATGTGTTGAATGAGGGGGTAATGAGATTATGCTAACATGGTTTTCTCTTGCCATAATAGCAACCTCTAGATTACGCGTATGACTATAGTATCCATCTAAAATTAGAAGAACAGGCGAAGATGCAGTCGATTTTACCGTATTAATGAAATGTTTGAACCACTGGGCGAATAACGCAGCCTGAACCCATCCACTTGGGTGAACAGCTGATATTGACCCTGGAGGAGTGCCTTGGATTTTAGGCAGCAGCGGTGGCCGCAGTAGTAGACTCTTCGGTCTCCTGATCAGTCGCCGTGCGCTGTGCGGGTTCGAGTCCCGTCCCAGGAGAAATTTTTCTCTTGGCTATGGATGTTGTGATAGTGCGTAGGTGGTGGACGGTCTCTGACTGTCGAACGCGGAGGTACCACCCGGCGGATTTCGTAGGCGGAGCCAGAATGTGTGCATGTTGCATGCACACGTGTTCCCTCGCCAGAGTCCGTGTGGCGTTCCCCCTTTCCCATGTATCCCCCTATAACCCCACGGTACCCAATGGGTGCTTAGGCCTTCGTGTTAGTTGAAATATAAAAAAAAAATTAGTTGCACATTCATATTTTTTCCAGGAAATATGAGCATTGGTGGAACGAAGTCTCCCCCTGCATTCATGCAGGTTATCAAAGTGACTAAAGACCCTCTCTCGTATTCTAAAACAAAGTTCACGATTTCTATTATTGCTACAAATATGGGCTAGCCCATATTACAAACTTAATACCAGCCCATATTGCACAAAACCTCCAAAAAGTTTGAAACTCCACAAATATTTTATATCTTGTATCTGAATATAATTAAAGACAAAATCTAAAAATATGAACCTTGTTTCCAATTGTGATCTATAAAAATCAAGTTAATTACTAAAACCTACTTAGTTACAGAGACAAATAACCACCACTGCAAAATTTATAAACACTGTAAAAGACCAAATCACACGAAACTGAATTGTGTATGTGAAAAGAAGCATTCTGTAATCAACAGGCGGTCACGTGCACTAAAGCGCATATAATTGTTACATTACTCGATAGATGACTCTAGGTGCATCGGAAATATCAACGTAGCCCATATTCCCTACCTAGCCCATATTTATACCCCCTACTCTAGTTTTTATTTTGTTTGTATTTCGCCCCTCACACCAATTTTAAAAAAATCTATTACAATCGGACGGGGAGTTACCAAGCTATAGCGGGGCCATTTGTTAGCGGACATGCCGACAGATTGGCAGACAGACTGACAAACAGACCAATGGAAATGGGTGATATGATTTTTCGCGGTGTACATGACCTACACATCATTATGTAGCATTCAAAACACATATATTGTACTGCAATGATGGTAATGCGTGTGTATCGTGTGTGAGTAGAAGAAAGTAGAGGAATACGAAGAAGGCCAACTGTCCAGCGAGGCGTACCCCACAGAGCGTCAGGATGTATATGGCTTTTCAAGTTTCTCGTATATATGATTATAATAAATAAAAATAAAAACTAAAATTTAAAAAAACAGTTCAATGGACAGGATGCAATTGTTTTTCAGTACCTTGAATACAAAAGAAGCCAGTTCTTATCGGATCATCTCAAACGATATCTTTGTACACTTTGTTTATTTTATCTCAATTTAAAAACTCAAGACTAGGAACACCTTAAACAGTACAGCGAAATGGATATAGGTCACTATAGATAACTACTAATGTCATGCAAGTTCAAAAAGCACTAAAATATGGGAGATTTATCGCCAAATCGATGGAAACATTCATTTTCTTTAATTAATCGTATATTTGGCGTCCAGCCAGGGACGTTTGCAAATATGTAAACATACGTTTTGTTGATCCCGCTGAGCCTGCGGTTGACGATCGCGTTTAATACCCCGAACAAATCGGTTCTATAATTTTTCATGGAGTTAAACACTTTCATAGATTTCCGGGGTGCGATTTGACAAAATTAGCATAGCTTGTGACGCCCGGCGTTGATTGTAAGGGAGTAGGGGGATAATTTTTTCAGTAAGAACCGTTTTGGAATGGAGTCACAGAAACTTTATGATTGTAAATAATTATAAAACTAAACCAAAAATGGACATTTTCTCATTTTTTAACATAATCACTATAAACATTAAAATGTTTCTCAAGTCGTCGCCTGACCGTTAAGTCGGTTAGTTACAATTTCCTTCAACACATCGTCATTTTATAGTCGCCAGAAATTTCTTGAGGTTCGGGAAAAGTGAAAGTCTGATGGTGCTTAGTCAGGGCTGTGATTCTCAATGAAACTAGTCTAGTTAGGTCCGTGTTCTTGCCACTACCTGAGGTCGAGCGTTGTCTTGAAGGAGAACTACGCCGTTAGAGAGCAGGCCCCGCCGGCTTTGAATAGTGTGCCTAATTCAACAAGGTGCTGATGAATTTATGTAGGAAGAACTTTTTGAGTTCAAAAACCGGATTACTGATTGACGTGGCGACAAAGAAAGCAGTGACGATGTAGTGAGAGACTGGCCAAGAGTGTCTGAGGTTGGGCGGACGCCATTAAAAATGCCTCTCGTAATAGGGAAATATTTCTATTTTGGTTAGCGGTGAGCTGGCAAGGCCTGGCACTGGGCTGCTTTAGGAAGTTAGTTATTTATTTATAACGCAAGCAAGGTTTGTCAATCTGAAACGATAAAACTGTTTCCAAGACTGAGGTGAGATCTAAAACGAGTCTATGGAGCTTAATATCAATTGGAAAACATTATGGAACAGGCAACAGTACACAACGTGCAACATTGAAAACATAAACGGCTGGGTACGAGAGAGAAAAAGAAAATGATACAGCTACATAAATAGGATCTGAGAGAGCAGGCTAGTAAGAATAGCAACAGATAAATAAGCAAATGACCAAAGAAGTATAGGTAAAGGACAAGAAAAAGATGGGGTGACAATCTGGACACCCAATAAAGAGGCATTCGAAGATGGATCAGGCGCAAGCCTATTGAAGAGTACGAAAGAAGAACATAAAGAAGAATAGATTGTAGGACTTTGGATATCGCGCATACTTTACGAGTATATATTCCGAATCTAATTTGTGCCCTCTGCTACCGCAACATGAATAACCCCATTGGGTTGTTGAAGTTTAAGTCATCACAGCACGAATGTGACTTTTCCTTTATTGCTGTATGATTTTTGAGTTCTGAGACGAGATGTCAATTATGTTTTGGGGTTATTATGTGTGGTGTTTGATTTTGTGAAATTTGAAAAATAAATCCTGTTTCCATCGAGCTCCTACCAGTAATTTAATTTCCTTTCGACCAGCTTCTACAAGATCTTTTTAATTAGCACCAGATCTACGTTTGTATCAAAGTAATCGCAAAAATAAATCTTGGATAGAGCTTCTCCTGTAGAACTTAAGTTTAGCTCATTTGTACACATTTTTAACTGGTACATACTATTCGTCATTGTCTGTCAGAGCGGTCCGTAGGACCTTTGCTCTTGGTTGAAGTCTTGTAAGTCAGTAGGTCTGTTAGGTCTGGTTGCCCAGTTACCAAACAAAGTCAGGGAGAAAGAAGGGAAGAAGAAAGGAAGGAAGGAGGGAGAGCAAAGAAAAAAGAAGTGCATCAATTTGAGGGGTACCTTGGCATTGCTAGTTAGTATTCGGCAATTTTAAATTGATCCTAAAATTAATTTTGGGATTGGTTGTTGAAGATAAATTATAATTTTGGTTGGACCTAAAGTCGCACGATTTAATTTTGTTCACAGTGCGAGTCGCGGCCTTGTGTGCTTGCGAACTTGCTGGACTGTGTAGTCTACTGAGTTGCGTAACAAAGTGTTGTTATGCGATTCTGCTTGTCTGTAACGTAGCTGCGCTTGTTGTTTGATGTAGTCCCTTAGGTAAGGGATGTCAAGGTCTCTGTGAAGGATCTCGTTGGAAACATACCATGGGGCGTTAGTGATTGTACGCAAGGTTCTGTTCTGCAAAACCTGCAGGCTACGCAAATGCGTTTTGGCGAGAATACACCAAGCCGCACTTACGTAAGTGATCGCAGCATAGCATAGGGTAGAGTTGCCGAAACGAGATTTGGAATTTAGTTTTTAACGCTTCAGTGTGCTTCTGCCAGGTTATCCCCTTGTCAAGAGTGAAACCGAGATACTTAGCAGAGCTTTCCCATGGTACCCGAACTCCATCCACTGAAATCTCAGACGGGGCGCCGCTACGTTTTTTAGTACAATAGATTGCCTGCGTTTTCGAATGATTAATTTTGATCAGCCACCGATTCGCCCATTCCAATACCTCGTCCACTGAACTTTGCAGCCTGTCGTGAACTAGATCCCCAGAGCACGACACCAGGGCAGTGTCATCAGCATAGAGATAGGTTTCACAGCTGCTGGGGCAAGGTACGTCATGAATAAAAAGTGAATAAAGGACTGATCCAAGAACCGAACCCTGAGGGACACCGGCTTTGATGGGCCGTGTTGTCGACAGAACGTTATTAATTTTGATCCGAAATTTCCTACCTTCGAGAAAGGATTTCAAAAGTTTTAGGAGCTAGAAGGGGAAGCCCTTATGGATCAATTTGTAGAGAAGGCCCTTGTGCCACAACTTGTCAAATGCCTTTGAGACATCCAGTAGCAAGATGCCAGTACCTTCGTTACGGGTGAACCCCCTGGTTACTCCGTACTATGCTCAGACCGAAAGCCAAATTGCACGTCAGGAATCACATTGTGGTCTGCCGAGAAATTTCCAAGGTGACGTAGAATCACCATTTCAGTGAGTTTAGAAGGAGCTGACAGTGGACTAATGGG